TCCACGTCGAAATGACGGGGTTTGGCTCCATGATGTCGGTTGAACTGATCCTCCATTTTGATGTCACGTCCTGTGCTGTCTTCTGAGGGTGGCATTATCAGGCCTAGTTCAGTACGAATACGACGGCCAAGAAAGTTTTCAGCAGGTGACAGATGATTCGGTCCAGATGGTGTCGACCGGTAGGCCATCAGAAAAGCTTGAAGTGCTTCTGTCGTTGGTTCCTGCCCATTCAATTTGATCAGTCCTCTCTTGAACGTGTCCACGAAGCGTTCTGCTTGCCCATTGCTCTGTGGGTGGAAGGGAGGAGATCGAACGTGTTTGATTCCTCGACTTCGGCAGAAATCCACAAATGCTGCTGAAGTAAACTGGGTGCCGTTGTCCGTGATGAGTGTCTGCGGATTTCCGAACTGTGCGAAGACTTTTGATAAAACTTTGATTGTTGCCGACGTGGTGATCGAATTCATCTGGATGATCTCGGGCCATTTAGAGAATGCATCCACGATGACGAGGTAAAAGTTGCCATCGAGGGGTCCTGCGAAGTCGGCATGCACTCGAGCCCACGGAGTGAGTGGCTTCGGCCACGATTGGAGTTCGGTCTTCACAGGATTCTTGGCCTGTTGTGCGCATGTAGCGCAGTTTCTGACGAGCTTCTCTATATGTGCTTCCATGGACGGCCAATACACATAGCTGCGAGCCAGCATCTTCACCCTTGTTTGACCTGGATGCGCTTTGTGAAGCACTTGCAGGACGCGGCGTTGAAGTGACTTCGGAATTACGAGACGGTTAGACGTGAGTAGACATGAGCCAATGGTCGATAGTGACTCTTGTCGATTGTAGTATGGCCAGAAAGGTGAGTCCCGATTCACTTTTGGCCATTTTCCAGATCGTATGTAGCCGATAACTTGCGTCAGGGTATGGTCCTCAGTAGTTGCCGCTTGGACGGATTTGAATGAGATCGGTAGTTGATGGCAGTTGTCCATTACTACTGCGCAGAGATCGGCGTCAATAGAGGCGATAACTCGGTCTTCTGGTTCCGGCGGGCGGAGCCCGATTAGTCGTGAAAGGGCGTCGGCTTCTCCAAACTCGCTCGTCTTGACGTACTGAATGCTGAAATTGTAGTTCAACAGTGTAGTAGCCCCTCGTTGTAGGCGATTGGCCGTGTAGACGGGAACTCCTTTTCGCGTCCCGAAAATGGAGATGAGCGGTTTGTGGTCCGTCCTCAGCGTGAAGTGACGTCCATGTAGGAAGCGATGGAATTTTTGGTCTGCAAAAAAGATAGCCGGGGCTTCCTTCTCAATTTGGCTATACTTTTTCTGTGCTGGCGTCAAAGCGCGGCTAGCGTGGAGACGGCTTTTTCGTGTCCGTCGGGAAAACTTTGTGAGAGGACAGCTCCGATTCCGTAGTTGGAAGCGTCTGCAGCGACGATAAGCGGCAGAGCAGGATCGTAGTGTGCAAGAAGGAGGTCAGATTTGAGAGTCTTCTTGATCCGATCAAAGCAGGATTGACATTCCGGTGACCATGTGAATGCGGCGTCCTTCTTGGTGAGTGCGTCCAGTGGAGCGCTTAGATTGTGCAGTTCACGGACAAATGTCCCGTAGAAGTTGACCAATCCGAGGAAGGCTCTCAATTGGCTGACGTCTTTAGGTACTGGCATTCTCTGGATTGCTTCGATTTTAGCCGGATCTGGTCGTCGTCCTTCGGCATCGATTATGAATCCAAGATAGCGAATTTCGGTGTGCAAAAGGGAGCACTTTTCCAAGCGCACAACTCCCGCCTAGAGGCAGTTTTTAGGCGAATCCGAAGTCCTGGATTCGCCTAAAAACTGCCTCTAGGCGGGAGTTGTGCTCCTCTATCGTTTTCCCGGTGACAATGATGTCGTCGAGGTACGCGGCAGTACCCTCCAACCCTGCAGTGAGGGTGTCCATTTGCTGTTGAAAAATTGCCGGAGCCGCTTTCACTCCAAAAGGTAAGCGATTGAGGCGATATAGGCCGCGGTGCGTGTTGATTGTGAGCAGTTGTCGCGATTCCTCGTCCATTTCTATCTGCAAATACGCTTCAGCTAAGTCTAGTTGGGAAAAGTACCTTCCTCCGTTCAGCTTAGCAAAGATATCGTCTGGAGCCGGAAGCGGGTGCTGGTGCTGCTCGAGTGCGTCCTTCAGGCCCGTAGAGAAGTCTGCGCAAAGACGGATCGATCCATTCTTCTTCTGAACGACGACCACCGGCGCTGCCCAGTCGGAGTGTTCCACCGGCGTCAGGACCTTTCCAGCTACCAGGCGATCGATTTCTTGGCTGATCCTTGGCTGAACAGCGTATGGCACGGGACGAGCTTTCCGGAAGACACGAGCTTGCGTCCGGCTTGAGCTTGAGCGAAGCTTTTGTTTTTGGGCAGCACCCCAGTCCTGGGGCGAATACAGCAGGGAACTGTTCCCGGAGTCGTGTGGTAAGGGACGACCGTACAGTAGCCAGCGTAGAGTCGGATATGGCACTGCACTTGATACTTGCAATGAGGCGATCGAAGAGCGGCTCGACCTGTGCGATCCAGTCGAGCCCCAGTAGCGAAGTGGTGTCGGCCACATGACAGGTTCCACTCCCTTGGCGTCCATCGATGGCGAATGTGCACTTGAAGTAGCCGCGAACATTGATTTCCTTGTTGTTTGCGGATTTTAGCTTGAATAGCGGTGGCAGCAGCTTCGGACGGCCTACTGCGATTCAGTCCTTGTGGCTTAGAAGTGTGACGTCTGCGCCTGTATCGAGGCGCATGCGTGTGGAGACTCTATTGATCTTGGCGGTCCGGTAGATGCGTCTGATTCGAGCTATCCCGGCGGTGGCGCAAGCGGCGATGACGACTTGGTTGGCCCTTTTTCGCTTTTTCTTCAGGGTTGACGTTCTCTTCCTGTTGAAGTTCTTGCAAAATCCCTTCTTGTGACCGCGGCGATTGCATGTGTGACAGCGTTTTTCGATGAAGTCGCATTCATTCGCCCAGTGGCGTCCTCCACAGCGGAAGCATGGCGAAGGCGGCTCTTTGTTCTGACTCTTCTTGGCCTCCACCGCGTTGCTTTCGGATGGGAGTGCAGCTGGTGTCGGTGGGCTGCACATAAGTTTGACGTCCTGTCGAATATCTAGAAGTTGCTGAATTTCAGCACTGAGCTCCCTCAGCGTAGTTTCAGGATTATTCTCCAGCTTGCGTAGAGCGTGAGTACGAATGTCGGCGTATTCGGGTGCTGCCAAGCCACAGATCCAGACAAGGCGCTTCATTTGTTCGGCCGTAATGGCGTTGAATTCTGCCATTTCGTGACGTCGATTCACTAGCCCAGTGTAGTCGCGGAGGCTTTCACCGTTGCACTGGGTTTTCAGGTGGGCGTAACGGCGGGCGAAGACTGATGTGTTGTGCCCAAACAGTTCCTGCAGCGTCTTCCCAGTCTCCGCCAGTGAAATATCGGCTGCTTTCCTTGGGAGAATATGGTTGGTGAAGCGGGCGTAGGCAGGTGCATCGAGCTTCGATACAATGAGACGTGCCTTTGCTGCTTCGTCGAGAGTGGCACCATCCTGCGTAATGATGTCCTCGTAACGGCTGTACCAGACGTCAAAGGTGCAGCCATTTTCCGAGTCGTGCGTGAACTCGGGCAGCCCTGCAGACAGTGAGTTAGTGACGAACTCAGCTGATGTGGCGTGAGCAGTCGTCGATGTGGACGTCATCGACGAGAACATGCCTCGCATCTCCTTCATGACGGCTTGTAGCATCTTCTCCTGAGCTGCGGCTTGAGCACTGAGAATAGCACGTAGAGTGTCAGCATCCATCGTAGTCGGCGTTGCTTGATGGAGTCGGCTGCTCGGCGTAGTCGATCCTGATCGCCAGTTGAAGTGGAGTCGAGGCGGAGAAGGTTTATTGCTGGAGAAGTCGAACTGGATACAATGATAACTAGTGAAAAGGCCGGGTTTATATACCAGTTGGCCTGGTCAAATACCCTGGTCAAATTGCAGTAATATCAGATCAAAACCTACAATTTGGAGCCTAAAACGTAGTCTTTAATTGACTGTGGTAGACCACATGTATAGCTAAAAGCCTACAACACTTACACTTATAGATATCTCGACTGCAAAGAGAGCAACTATCCCTCAATCGCCTGAAAATGCCGCCATTCACAACACCTTGGATACTTCCATACTACCCCTGTTTGTTGCATCTATAGGTTTTGACAGTAGACGGTTATTTTATATTCATGTTTGTTTATTACTTTATAGATGACTGCAGAGAACATCTGAACCGAAACAGTATCGGACTTTCGTTGATTTTTCGAATTTAGATTTTCAAATCGTTTATGCGCACTTTTTTCTTTGGTTGAATACATATGGACTCCTGTAGTCTATTGTTTGGAGGTTTAATAGCCTTTAGTCTTTGGATGCCGTCGCCGCCTTCTTTGAGCCGAATGTTCTTATTCTGGAAATTATCCAGAGTCGAAGGAACCATTTAAAACGGGACCTACAACGTTAGAGTGTTTCGGGTGGTGATGTCAAGTCTGGGTCTGATTTTGACGACCAATACTTTAAAAGTTATAGAGATGTTATTCACACACTCGATGGACGAACATAAAAAGCGCTGATTATCATACATATTACAGAGATGGCCTGGCACAGTGGTAAGGATGACGGCATCATAGAGGAGAGAGTGGGGGTTGTGTAGGGCTTAATTTTTTGGTGACAAAGACATTTTGTGTTGAACTCACCACATTCTGCGACGTTTCTGACGCTTGATCTGGTTTGGCTCAAGTTGTGGATGAGATTTTGTGGGGCGGGAGGGAGACAAGTTTTCGCATAAGGCTTTCCTCGAATTCCAGAGATTCTTCTGTGGATTCCATCGAAGTCTACGACTATTATGTATATGAGGTGACTCGACTCTTACCTAGAAGCTCAGTTCACGATAATTTTAAGGTATCCTTTTTAGGTCGAAGAGCGGAGGTGTTGATGTAGAAGAGTACATTGGTGGCGAAGAAAGCCGGGAAATCCGTCTTCTTCAAGGCTTTTTAAAAGTACCAAAAGTGGAGGTTGTACTATATCACCGTGAAGGGAATGGTACGTAAGGGGTGTTTGGACGAGTTTCAACTTGCTCCTACTGCTCAAAGAAATGACTGCATCAAGCCGAAATTGTCCGAAACTGCTCACTGCGCCATAGTTTATGACAAGTTGTTTGAACTTCCTACATGGGGAGAAATCTCAGAAACCATTTTTATCGTGATCTGTGCCTTTAGACATCCTTCGCAATTCCTATTCTTATCCGTGCACTTTACGCTAGATTTTGTGGATGGGACGGCTATTTCCAACCTATAAACATACTATGTGATATTCTGGCATAAACGCTGCTTGCTTATCATGTGCTACACACTCGGGCGTCCAAATTCTGTAACTATTGGGTCGCTCGGGGAGTAATTTTAATTTCTGAGTTTCACAAAACAATTTTTTTCGCTTTCAGGAAATCAATCGATGAAATATACCCCTATTTTATTCGGTATTTTCCACATTCCTTGTGGTAATTTCATGCTCTTTTCTCGCACGATATCCGTTTTTTTTGGCAAAAAAACAAGACCACATTAGATTTGATATCTTCAGCTTAGTAGAGGTTTTCCCATTGAGGACTTCCGCAACGATCGAAATAAGTGGTATTCGGATATCGCGAAATCAGGGCTATGAGGCTTATTTAGCCTCTTTCCCAACCATGCTTTGATAATTTTTGTTAGATCTCCAAGATTGTATGCGATCTGATATCGCCATAGCATAATATTGCTACTTTGCGACTCATCAATTTTGGAGGGCTTTCTCAACTGCTCCATGGAATATAATGAGCAAAGGTTCAAGTGAACTTCCTTGTTCCTTAAAGACACTTCACACTATGTCTCGCATTGTAGTCCACTAAATCGTTAGCGAAGAACGGATATAAACCTCGTTTGAGCAGGTCCGTTTTTTATGAGCGTTTGTGAGTAAAATTATTGTAGATATTCTGTAACTTTTAACAACAGCCACTATTGGGTTTATAAATGGGTGGGTTTCAATACCTTTCAAGCTCAAATCACAGACGCTATCTCACGGCGTCATGGGTATCTCCTTCAACTGGCGTGGCAATCAAACTTCCAGTTTTTTTTGCTAGTCCAGGTTTTTTGATATTCTCGTTAACTATTCCCATATGGCTTGGTCTTTTCAGTAAGTTCCCACAAGGGTTACGGCTTCGGTCAATGCATCAAAAGATGGTCATTCAGCCTACCGGTCGTCCAACCTTGCAGTGATAAATTGCTGGAGCGAAAAGTTGTGAACCACTGTTCACATATGCTTTGTAATAAAACATTGCCACCCCATGTTTTATCTACTTGATGGGAAAACCAGCAAGGGCTAAGATAGAAGTGAAAAAGTGAAATAGGCCGAAAATCCTCCATTTCACCCTCCAGTTCAATCTGTTCCAGAAACTACAAGTTGGATTGAACTCCGTCCACTTTACTCTCAAAAAAATGAAAGTATATACCTGTCAAATATCTCGACTAAAAAGAGTCAGACGTCAGAAAAGCTTCTCAACCGCTTGAAAAATCGTTTTCAAAAATCGAGATTATTCTCCGCTAAGCTAATAATACATAGTATTGGGTGAAGGCTGCGATGTAATGACTTGAGACTCGTCCATACATTTTCTTCCTCTACAATGTTTTTGTCCAATGACAAAAACTCTGAAAACTTTCCGAAGTAGTTTCGGCGGTTTCTTCCTTGTTTTCTTTTCCTGATGAACCAACATGCAACCACACTTTCATGATCAGACTCTGCTCTCCATCATGCTTTCAAGTTGTCATGTCACGATTTACGTCACTGGGTAAAACCTCGTCGACAAATGTTGTGAGAGAAAGTTGAGTGTTATCCCATTGCAAGTGGTGAGAAAGAAATATGAGATGAGCGCTGTTTGTAAAGGATCTTCGCTGAATGCCGTGTAAGCGACGTATGAAACTTGATGATTTGCCATCGCAGACCTCTACCCTCACACTCATATACAGACCTGTGCGGTGTGTACAGCCTGAACTCTCAAGTTGCTTCCGATCTTTCAAGGTCATCTAGGCTTACTGATTGAGCCAGTGGTTTTCTTCCCTTCTCCATTACACGCTATCTGCATATTCACCACGTTATCCGTCTTAACGCACGTAGACTTGCGTGTGGGATCATGAGGGGATGAAATGAGCAAGAAAAGCTCCAGGAAAGTCGCTGGCCATCACGATTGAACCACTACTTCTAGCGAAGTTTGTATTATATGCTTTCTATTTGTATTTCCTATTATCGTCTACAAAGCTTGCACCAAAGGCGTGTAGCCTGTTTATGAGAATCAGACGACATATTGAGACGAAGTGAAAGAAGAAGATTGCACGAGAAAATGGACAAGCGGAGCTTTGGTGGCGAACAAGGGATGTAAGAACTACTTGGTGAGAATGGAGACCTTTTGATGTTCAAATAAGCAGATCATTAAGCACGATAGCAAATGCGGCGACAAAAAGAAGTGAAGAGGTCGAAATAAAAGCAGTAGCAGAAAAACCTTCATGAGAGGTATCTTCCGGTAAGATTTTGTGAAACGAAGGAGAAAAATTCCAACAACCAGACGCCCTCTCCTTTGGTTTCATGGTGAATCCTCCTTGAACCAACTATATAGGCTCTATCATCTTTCGCTGGACTTTTCGGTCAATTCTTGTAGTTTCTCGTGCATTCTGGTACCATTTGGCACCTTCACTTTTTCTTCACCAAAACCCTATTTTCATGTCTGGAAGACCACGAAAAGTCTTTGATCAAACAAAACAAAAAGGGAGACGATAGGCAACTTTGAGGTGTTCTTTCTTTCCTGACTACAAAATAAGAGGAAATGTGCTCGGAGGTAGTAGATGATACCAGGGGGCTGTTGAGGGTCCCACTCAAACACACTGCGGCTTCCTTGATGTTTCTGTATGAGCGATTTTCGAATAGGGGGTTGTTAAGATTAACGGAGTTCTTGCAATGTTATACTAGCAAAAGGTTTGACCCCTGGAGAAATTCGAACTTGCACAGCGCACTTTTCCGTTACTTTATCGAGACCCCTCCCCTCCTCCATCAACGTATCAGCCTCAGCTGAACAATCTGATCAGCGGTTTGACCATTGCTCAGATTGAACCGTGAAGGTGTAGTTCTGACAATGTCTTATTTCATTTGTATTCATTACCTGATTCTCAATAAAAAAGCTATTGACATCAATCAAATGAAGTATTCGGCGTGATTCGCTCTTTGAACGAAATCTTGGTTGAATAATGGGATGCTCGCAAGGGCTGTGGATTCTCATAGGATTCGAATTCAGAAGGGTCATACATTCCCATCAAAAATAATTGTATGGAATCCATCCTGTTCAGGTCTCACGTCCATAATTTCCTTTCGACTTCAACCGCCATCAGTGAGCTGCTGTGCTTCGGGAGTGAGAAATCCTGCAAGAGCTAGAGTGCCTTTGAAAATCGCGTTAAGAGGGACCGCCGGTTATGCTAAAAATAAAAGCCGCTGCCATTGTGGCATCTCGAAACTCCTGACGGCAGAATCCACTCGTCTTCTGATCGATTTCCTCCTATTTTCGTGCTCGGCGCACACAACATCATCCCAGTTGCTTTTTTCTTGAATTCATGAAAAGGTTTAAGTGAATTGCCTCAAGTACCATCTACAACAATGTTTGTTCACATCGGGCATGTAGAATGTCGTAATCAGTTCACACTCTAATTACAACAGCTGTTCTCGAACATTGCTCAACGCGGCGGCATCGCCATAGTGAATCTTGTTAAACGCAGTCATATATTTGTCATTAAATCGGTTTGAATGTCTCACATTTCATAGAATTCGGCGAAAAACAGTCATTATATGGATTTTACGTTGTCGTTTCCAGCAACACTCCTCTGTTTATTCTATTTCGTTTTTTCCCCCGATCTTGGCTCAACGTTGGTGAAATATGATTATTTATAGAAACAAACTGATGATGTAGCTACTGACAAGGTCATCTATGACATCGTTTTTTCATCTATCCTACCCTTCTACTCTCTATCCTACCTCTAGCACTTTGCTCATTGACATTTCCCCAATTGCTATTCCCTGGACTATTCCTATCACCTTACCCTTTCCTTACTCAGTGCCTCCAGAAGTAAGCAGTAGTACCTGCGACTTCTACGTCGATGTTGTGGTGTCCTAATTCTAAGCCTATTGCTTCCTATGCAGGAACTACAAAATGCACTAGCACTTCACTTTTGGAACCGTTTTTGACATCTCATACTACTGTGTAGATAGTAATTCAATGCAGTGCATATAACATGAGCTGTTTACCTACTTACTGAAAGAACTCTGTATATTACAAATGGTAGAATACAGCAATGCTCTTTTTGGCGCACGGAGCATGAAAAGAACGTTTCCTTACTACTTGTACACGTTGATCAAACTTCATTTTTTCGGAACATGATTTTGCAAAAAAGCTAAAGAGCTTTTAAAATTTCCAAAAGGATCCCTTGGCTTCGCTCTAGCGAAACACATCCACTTTATGTGTGATAGCTAACCTTGCTCCTCTCCTCCCCAGCTTACCATTAGGCCGAGTGCAATCGAGTTTGGCCAGTGCGTTCGCGCCTTATGATGATGCGCTCTCAAATTCTTCAGTGCGATTCGGGTGGTTCCCCCTGCCTTTCAACTTGGCGTCTATTGTCTTTGCCACTTCAACTCATCCTCATCCTTCTTCGCGGACGCATCGCCACTCCCAAGAGGCTTCGGAATGAGCTGGTCGAGTTAAACTAATCGAAATTCCATTCTAGGTAAAATCATTTCCATTGAATTGGGACTCCTCGGCAATTTCGATATCCTTCCTGAGGTTGCATACTTTGAAGTGTTTGTTCTTAACTTAGCATAGGTGGGCTGAGCCTAATGATTTGAGTGGATCTGGGTGACGGCTCAAATGATTTTTCTTTTTTCATAGTCCTTTCGTGGAATTCAGTCCAGCTTCCCTAAATGTGTTCAGCCAAATGTACAGTGTCTCCTAGACTTCCGACATTCCAGATAATCCACCCGTGAGGCAATCAATGGCAGTGAGCTTGAGAACGCTTATTCTGGTTTTTCAAAGGACCACATCGAATATATTCCTTAGTTAGTATTATAGTGAATGGACATGGACAAGCAGTTATCCCTTTTGCTTCCAGTGACGCTGCGCACATTATTGTCATCTAGTAAGCATCTATCAAACTCAGCAAGTTTTTTTATGAAAGAGTGAAGAAATCGGTGTTCAAATAATTTTGCTGATCGTCGAAGCGGTACGGTACTTGATAGCCTGTTTCCTTGTCCTCGAGTGTCCAGACCGTAAGATCAAGCGTGAACGACTTTGCAATTGAGAACACTTGGAACATCAACACTGGAGAGTTTATAAATTGTTGGAACTTCTAACCGCGGTAGATGTCGGTAAGAGTAAGCAACAATACAAACGAGTGACACCGAAATAATGCGCTATCTTTTCGAAGCAGGAGAAAGCTCTAAAAGATTTTAAGGGATTTTAAATAAAAGAGCTCTTAAGTAATAATGGTAATTATTAGAATGAAAAGCATCCTATCCAGTAACAGCGAGTCTTTTTACACTTCGAGGCTTTTCCTAATCGTTCGCCCACACTACGAAGGTAACTGCCATCCTTAACCATCCAACTTTGATTAACCTCGAAACTTTGATTATCGCACAGCTGTCTAGCTCTCTAGATGTTTCTATATCATTGGTGGAGTATACTTAAAGCACAGTTCACGATAAAATTGGTTTCTGAGATTCTCCACAGGACGAATTTGAGGACCCTGCTTATACCGTATCTTGCACTATTAGGTCGAAAAACGAACTAGTTAGGAAGTTATAAATGCTCGAGATTGGCTCGTGTTTGTATCCTAGGACGAGTTTCACCGGCATTGCTGAGGCTGCACCGAACACAAGGGAACGCATGTAGGGAGTTCGAACAACGTGTCATAACCCAAAGCGACAGTGAAAGGCAGTTCTGTACAGTTCTGGCTTGATGTAGTCAGCTCTTTGTGCAAATGCAATAACTGAAATTTCATCCGATTCCCCTTCCATTTTATTTTCGTCATGGCAATCTCGTCTAACCTCTATTTCCCCTACTTTTGAAAAGCAAAATCTTTCTCGAAATCGGCGAATTGTGTGTATATGTGTACGTGTGTATGTGTGTTTGAAATTAATAACTCATCCCCCCCCCCCCCCCCCCGTTTCAACTTGAACCTTAACCGGAAACAAGATCACTTCATGAGAATGTGATATCGACCAATACTATCCAATCCTTACCGGCTATGTTTTGACACCGTAATACCGATTACGGTCATATTGCAGCTGTTATAAGACATACCTGTCTGTCTGCTTAATTTCACGGAATTTTCGAGCTCTCTACATCTGGCATAAAAACGCCAATTTCTGAAGGACCAATAAAATCGGCCGGCTCAAGCCGGACCCTTATTTTCTCGGTCAGTGTCGAAGAGGCCTGCAAATTCTGAGCAATATATTCCCAGGAGAATTAATTCAAAAGTACTTATGGCGATTTTCACATTTCTTTGCAGTTAACTGTAATTAAGCAGTTTGGCAGAGATGTATGAATCTTTTTTCTTTACCAGCCAAAGCAGCCTTCCCCAAGTGAGCACTTTTGGACTGTATTTTCCTACCACTCCTAGCAACCGGCTCCACTGCCCCAGAGCACCCGGGAGATCATAGTGGGAAATGTAATGCTAGAGACTCTTACGTACTTACGAGCATTTGAAGCTTCTTAATTAGGGCATACTTGTATTTTTTCTACTTGTTTTATTTTTATCTGCATTTTACACTGTTTCTTTTGACGTTTCGTGACTGAACTGATTTGTGTGTTGTGTTCAACGTGAATTTCCAATAGCGCGGCGTCTGTAACCTGCAAAATAGATAGTGAAAATGCAGGACATAAGACTCAGGTGCTCATTCGGTACTTAAACTGGAACATTTCATCGGTGCATCAATAACTTACTCAGAACGGGTCAGGAGAAGAGAATTCGCCAACACTACAGTAACTGCTACACGTATGTATAGCGAGGCTGGTGACTTTTAACTAGGTGGTATTAGGTTTCTCACAGTGACACCAATGTTTGTAATGATGAAAACGTCACATTCTTCCCCTCGCCTCACCCTTCTCATGGGTGAATTCCCCAATAGTACGGACGAGGAATAGTGTTCGTGGCATCCCTCGACCATCACAATCACTCTAACATTTTGACATATGGTGACGCCGAGCGCCACACATCCGACAGTGGTTCTTGACGGCTCAATGGTGCTGAAGATAACAGAGTATGCAGGTGCATACCAAAGTAGCTAGCTTACGGCAGGGTCGGTTTAATGGACTGCCAAATGGCAATTCGGCATTAACTTCATCAGACAGTGCCGAAGACTCGTTCCAACAATTTTCTTTGCTCCGCCTCATTCTCATTCGATTTCATAGAATTACCCAGAGCTCACACCACAAGGAAGGCACCTCTTCTAACATCTATCCAGCATCCCAAGGAACGATCATCGAATCCTAGTGGTGTTGTGGTCTTTACTAACATGGTGCTGGTAGTGAATTGTTGAAGTATTCACCACAAAAGTCATCTAGTAGATGGAGGTTGAACAGGTTTATCTACATTAATCTTGTACCCTTACCATTTGCTCAGATAGAAGTTCTTGATAGAAGTTCTCGTACAGTGTCAAGTAAAGCTATTACCATCCTGAGCTCCCCACCCCCCTCCCACGTAGACTTGTTCAAGATTGTCCTGGACTACACGTGATGAAAGCTATAGATCCTACTCCGTTAAAAGATCTAGTTGCTCGGGGGGACGTTTGACAAGTTCCTGCAATTTGATAGAATATGCGGGAGAATCGTTTCGCCTGCTGCGCATCATCAGTTTCCAATCACTGTTGCTTCATTTTATATTTAAGCAGCACAACATGTATAGCGTTGCAAAAATGTCCGAAGACGTAGTAACTGAGTGGCGAATGAAGGAGACATGACGGCCTCACTGTGAAGACCTTCCATGGTCTCGCAGCGCTTCAGGAAAACAACAAGGATGCAGGATGATTGGCTGATTAACTGGGATGTTGGGCGGTGGGCACAAATGAATGGCTTCAGGGAATGAATTGAGAAGTTCGGAATTCGAATGGCATGGCAGTAGTACCTCGTTTATATGGAATGTGGAAAAAGTCCTGTTTGTAGATAATTGCCCTCAGTGTGGGCCAATACGAAAAGGATAAATGTAGGTAGTCAAATATCCAATTATTCCTGTAGAATCAACTATTTCGTACGTAAGTACCACAGTCTCGCTGTCTCACGCCAGTGTTCAAGCGCACGCATGTGCGAAAGGATGGAATGATTTCCGTTGTTCTCTGAAGCCGTCTCAGAGGCCTCTTGCCTCTTTATTCCTTGCCTCTCTCCTGCAGCCCTAGTGCGGAATGGGCTCTTGAGGTTTTCCTTTGACCATTTGTTAGCGGAGATAGGTATGCAGTTTCATCGCGGAAGATTCTCACTCGAATTCTAGATGCAATTTATGTTGTGCTGCCTAATAACAACGCCGAGATGTTGAAAAAGTTATTTGTGAGAATATCGACCCACGTCGAGCGACCTTTGGAAAAGCTTTGTCGCCTCAACTGTTATTTTATATTGTGGTTTCTCATAATCTCCCGCATGAATAGGACTTCCTTAATTCCGATGAATGATCGTTCTGATTTTTATGCTGTTTTCACCAGTGCCTATTGATGTTCATTGTAGAAATGCTGTGGGCGCTGGCTCTGATGCCGATGATTCGATGTTCGCCTCCAGAAATGCGGTTGATGAACGACCTCTTGGCTGGATATGTTCGTGAGGAACGGCCAGTGTTGGACAGCTCAAAGCCAGTTGTCGTCACGCTTGGCATAGCTATGCAACAAATTATCAATCTGGTACGGTAATATGATCTGGCGATCATCATCCTTTCACCTCATTACAGCTTTCCAACAAAAGCTCTTTAACGACAAGTCAATTTTTTTCCTACACCCGTTAGAGTGTTGAACGATAGCTGGATCTCCTTGAACGGAACTCGAATAGGACTTTTAATTTCGAACATGTTACTCTGGCAGGGCTAGCGACTTTCTCTGGTGTTTAGAATTCAGAGTACTCTTCGATAAGGTTTTCAGTAGGATCCTTTTAATGCTGGCTGGATCTTCCTTTGGGACTGCGTCGCTGGACATAGCTTGAATGATATCAGCTTGCTCTTTAATTTGTCATTTGTCACACTTTTTGTTCTTTTATTTTTCGATATTTGGCTATGATATTCTTAAGTATTCTAATGGTTCTACACAGCCGTGATTTTTTTTTTGAAAAGACTAAGATTACTACCCAGTCGCCGAATACTGTAACAGGATACGTTGAGCATTGCTAATTCCGAACAGCAAGAGAACTTTCACAGGTCCAAGTCGTTCTGATTAGCGAGGCCTTCCCAGGTAGTGCACGCAACATTTCGTAGCAAAGCATTCATCCATTACTCGTCTGTCGAGGGCAGAAGCCTCAAAGAGAAATGATAGCCTATGTCTATGTAGACCTAGGTTTCACTCTTTCTCGATTAGAGATCTTGTGAGCTGTGGCTTCTTCTATTTCTCGAACAGTCTTCGCTCTGGTTTCGAATTCTTCTTCATTGGCTGCTTTCATAGTCCGTCGGCGTGCCACGAGGCAGTGCTGGGGGGGAGGATGGCGGCAGACGGTGGGTCGAAGGGCTGAAAACAAAGAAGAACAAGATCAAAAACCAAACAACCAGGGGCTCGTACAAATGGTTTTAGATCTTGTCTCTCCTTGTTTACAGCCCTTCGGGGAGCTGACCCACCGTCTGCCGCCCTCCTCCCCCTTAGCGCTGCCTCGTGGCACGCCGGCCGGCCGACCGGCGGACTATGAAAGCAGNTGCATTGCTGTCATCTGGCGCAGTGATAAATGCGTGAGCTGATATTTGGAGAGGATTATAGGTGTGTGAATTTAGCATACGGCAACAAAATTTCAAGGAATTTGCTACTGCAAAATTGAAATGCGTTTGCATAAACTTGAGAGCTGGAGTTTCGGGAACTTAAAGGCACGGTTCACGATAAAAAAGGTTACTGAGTTTTTCCTTTAGGAATACTCAGCGCCCCCCATGGGTGGTAGAAGGGACCCTCTCGCTCCCACAATCTCGGCGCTTAGGGCATAGTGGAAGCCCCGTTGCTGCCGTACTTCGCTTTCCCGCCCCTCGATCGGTGTCACGTTAGACGAGTCTCGAGACAATAGAGATTGCTATTATTCGTTCTAGGACCCACGCACAATCAGCTAATCGCCGAGTGATGAGGCGATGTTTTTCTCCCATTCTTCTTTCCTCTGTTTTTCTTTTTGCTGTCGCGATCCCCTCTTTAATTTCCTACTCCTAGAGGCAAAAAAAAGTGAGCTACTTCTGCTGTTACTAGGGTTTTTTGTTTACTTATGCGTGAAACACACGGTTTAGCTCGTCCGGACGCCCCACACTTCTTCATTTTTCTGGTTTCATTCTCGTCCAGCCCCCTTTTTAACAGTTTTTTGAAGCCTTTTTCCACTTTGGAAACACCGATGCACGCAGTTTCTTCACCTCAGTCGCACTATTTTCGATCTTGTCTTCCATTTTTCATCATAATCTGGGTTACCCAAGATTATCGTGAACTGTGCCTTTAAATGTTCACCGACAGCTACTGATCCGTTCCTGACGAAAACTCTGATCTTGAAGTCAGGAAAACCAAAATTTGAGAAACAAAAAACGAAACTTCGCTTTAGTTTTGCCATTGTGCGTCATGCAAAACTTGCCTAATATCACCTTCTCATTCTGCTAGCTATGTGATGAAAGTTGTATTCATGCACGACTAGAGCCTTTGTAGTGCTGCCTGCTCGCGTCGGTCAGCTGGGAACTTATGATCCCTTCTTACTGCACTCTGCATCGTATCCTGCTCTTTTCTACAAAAACTGGTAGCCTCAGTCGATACTCAACGGGGTCACAAAGTCGAAGTTTATGTCAAAGTTTAAGTCAAGTCAGAAGACAAAATCGAAGTCCTTAGATCATTCTTACACTAACCAGGGAGGGGTAGTCTACTTACCTTGGGACTTTGAATGGAGACCCAGATAAATCGATAGAGCTTTGTATGCTATTTACGAAAATGGAAATTAAAACTGCTAAATGGCTTTCCTTAAAAAGTTATGGGGGCTGGGAATTTGCTTGACAGTAGTATTATTTGGATATGCGAACTCGTCGCTTCGATATCAAGTGCCGACGTGGCATAGTGGTAGTGGTCTCGCTTCATAGGCGTACGACGCGGGTTTGCTCCCCGCTGTCGTTGACGTTTTTGCAAAGTGTTTTTTTCATTTCAATAAAGACTCCCTAAACATTTTATGACATTTGTTTAGGTGTAATCATTATTTCTGCTTTTATTTTCACTCGTCACCCCTGTACAGGAAAAGTGGTTCTGCACGTCAATTGTACGACTCTGTTTTATTTTAATTTTCAAAAAGCATGCAATAGAAAGGTGCTAGAGATAAGTTAGATGCCAGCAAAAAACAACATTGATGGAGAAACTTTAAAAAACTTCTAAAAATGCGTGAAGCACGCATGTTGTTCGCAAACTGCGCATCGTATACATGCTGATTCTCTACATCCGGGAACAAAGCAGTCAATTGCCTCAAGACCTAACAAATACTAGGCCGGTGTGACATTTTAAAAAATTAAGGAAAGCCATTTAGCAGTTTTAATTTCCATTTTCGTAAATAGCATTCAAAACTCTATCGATTTATCTGGGTCTCCATTCAAAGTCCCACGGTAAGTAGACTACCCTTCCTTGGTAAGTCGAAATCACGCCTCAAGCTCTCTAGAGACCTTGCGCATATTGCAAATTGGGAGATTCTCTAACTCTTTTTGTTATGCCCGTCATTTGGTTATATTTTTGTTCAACATTTTCCACTGATTTTAATCTATTACGCTTCACCTGTCGTTTTTTCCAAACTCCTAAACGATCGCTTCTAAAAATAGAGGGAACCCTTCGGCGCGTGTCGTGTGCACGGTTCTGTCCTGACATGATCCCAAAAGCCTGAAACGTGTTGCTAGTTTTTGTAGAAAAGAGAACATGTTTTAGGTCTACTTAATTGCTGGAATTTTTGAAGAGAATCATTTCATGCGAGGGTTAAGAAATACCTTTTCATGGCATGAGTAGAACAACTATGCTCTATCAAGAGGACACTGCTGAAGGTGTCTATAAGAGTGAAGAGCTTAAGAAGATAAACAAATACTTATGCGAATCAACCTCATATCACCATCAACAAAACATTAGGAATTGTAGGTAGACGCTCAGAACCCAGAATAAAGTGTTACACATGTGTTATTGAAGCGCACAGCAGTGAAATGAGTTCAGTCGAGGAGTATCTACTACTTTCAGCAGTGAGCCAAGAGCCACGCACGCGACACGCGCCGGAGAGTCCCCTGTATTTTCAGATGCGACCCCCCGAAACATTGCGGAAACCTAGCATGAGCGTTCTCTGCATCTCCGCCTGCTCGAGCAGTATTTGTTACTGCCATCCTTCAGCTAATTCTTAATCCTTGATTTTTTCGATGAGAAAGTCTGGAAATGATTTTTACAGTAGGGTCTTCAAGTTCAGCAGCGAATCACTACCCCTCCAAACGGGGTGAAGACTCCATTTTTTAGATATGCTCAGCACACCTTGGTATAGCTCGCCGCTTTTCCCCAGATTTTTAATCCTCACGGCTCGAAAAATTTCTGAAAATAGCTACACCAACTCGTTGTAGGCTCCATCCGAAACGTCCAATCAGAGCAAATACTTGGAAAGTGAGCATAATCTTTCTTGGCACTAAAAGGAAGTCTGTATGCACTGCGTGTAGGACGTCGAATAAGTGTGGCTGGGTTACTTGTTCACCGAACAGCTGCTCGATGTGTCTCAAGTTTTTTGGGTACAACGGGAAACATTACAATTGGCAGTTGAACATGTTGTTGAAAACTTTTTTCTAACAAAACACTCATTCCTCCTGAAAATTATAGCGTCCCTCCCTCAGCATCAGTATCGGTAATTGAATGAGTCGGGGAGGATGAGATCATATGGCTCCACTACTACACGCATGTACTCACAAACATCCAGGAACCGGTCAAAGACTGACCGATTCTTTCCTGCTTTGAATGAAAGCATCATAGGATTGCTACACAAGCATAATATATGTATACATATACATATGTATACCATTCTGTCGTCCGGTTACTCCGGGCTCTCCTCCTTCTCGTGTCGAATTCAGTATGCTTTTTTCTCTATTCTCCTTCGATATGTGAAGTGATGAAGGCGATATTGTTCACTACAACTCGATATCGATACTATACGTTGACCAATTTTGATCTGTGATTGTAGGGCATTCTTACTTTATCGATTCTCATAGAGTTTTAACGATCCAAAATGAAGGAAGCCGCAATGGAAGTATTCGATCAACTCCGACTGGTTGATTTCGACCTACATGAATTACTGTCCTTACTCTGACTTGATTGTCACCATGTCACGCTGCTCTTTTAGAGTCTGAATAACCGGGTCTGAATGGAAAAGGAGCTGTGAGTACCCGGTCAATAACACAAAAAATTATGGGTTATATTCTGTTACGTTGAGGGTTACAATACAGCGCCATTTCCACCACACGAGCAGTAAATACGGTTCTGGGGAATTCCATGTCCACTGCATTCATTTTATTTTACTGTGAAGTTAACGTGACCCATGACCTTTTGAGATAATTATATGCTTTACTTGAGCTATGCTGAACTTTGAAATGGCGTTTGACAAGGACGAAACACACATGTTTTCGGCTTCCTGGCTCTGACGAGTACGACAAAACCGAAATTTGAATCAAACAAAAAGTTATAAAGTACATATTCACTTTGAGGTACATATCATGTCGAGCTTCATCGAGAGTTAATCAGGTCGTTACTAATAGCCAATTACTTTCTAATTTTTTGTGTTTTGAAGTCGAACGACAACCTATCGCAACGTTAGCATGCGGATTTTTTCGACCTGTTCCAAGATGAAATAGCAGTTCGAAGTGGAGAGGCACACAAAACATTGTTGTTATAGCAAGGATTCAACACAGTGTTACGTATTATAACGTGTTATAACACCACCGCGTTGAATTCAACGCGTTGTTGCGTGGTAATCCTTGCTACGTAGCCCTTTATCAGGAACGGAAAGGAAAATAGGCCCAGACCGCTATACTTTGCGAAGCGGTCGCCGCTGTGGTTGAAGTCGAAACCGATGAATGCTTGGAGTCAGATATTTCTGCGGAATCTGACTGGGACCATTGTGACGAAGATGGTCGTGACAGTTCTGCCAAGACGAGCGAAATCGACATTGGCAATACAACAGTCACTTGTGATCTAGCAAGTATGTCCTGTATTTATAATGTTTACCATTAGCATGGTATTCGGTTAATAATCAGTTAACGAAGGCCATCGAACACTACAGAAGTTCGTCCAACGGGTACCACTCATTATCGAGCATGAACGCAAGATTTCGCTGGTCAAAGATGCCAACGACCTGAAGAAGCTCGTAGGATTGAAAGTGAGCAGCAAGAGGCGGCTAGTAGTCTCCGTCGGTCTGTGCAGTCAAAAAGATAGGAGAGCTTCTTCACGCAAAGTAAAAACGAAATGGCCGAATGTGGATGCAACACACCAACTCATTATTTTGTAAATGTTTTCGTTCTGGCAAATCTGTATTTTCAAAATAACACGCTGCATGACGAAGACCTTCGTTTTATTGCGCTCGAAATATGCCGAGAAAGCAATGTCGAGGGCTCAAGGCGTGTCGACCTTGGATAAAGGCCTTCGAACGGCGTTATGGAATAGTGTCACGAAAGGTCACAGCATATGTGAAAACAAACTACAGAAGCCGTGAGGAAATAGAGTTCAAAGCTCAAGTCTTCGTTAGCGACGTGAAAAATCAAATGGTTAACAAAACCATTTGCTTGTTTCTGTAATGGTGAGCAGTCAGGGTTACTCAAAGAAATGGTAACGGCGAGATCTTTAGCACCAACAGGAGTGAAAAAGGTGGGCGTGCCATGATTATGGCCATACCAATTTTGAGTATAGTAGAGATTAAAACATTCTCTTCAGGTTGAAAGAATCGTCGAGGGCAAAATGGCTCTCACGCATTCCCATACATCCTCGCACTGTTTTATGCTGACGGCAAGTTGGGAAAAAAATGCTTGTTGTTCTACAAAGGAGAGGGAGCTCTTTCGCGTCAAGGTCACTTAAAAGCACCGAATCTGGTAGTCATCACGGGCACAACACACATCATGACCAAGGAGCTCACGGTCGATTAGATTAGGAATTGCCTTTTTGAGAGCAGAGACGCTCATCAGGAACTGCACCTTCTCGTAGAATCGTGGTCTTCCTTCCGTAATACCAACGCCATGAAACAAGCTGTACCTGAAAGTGTGCGACGCTATTGATCTTTGCATATGTGAAGCGTGCGGTTCATTTCTTGACGAGCACTTCATTACAGGATGTAGAATTGAAGTACCCTATATTCTTGCCCGTGCTAGGCCAATGATTCGATTATTGACGTCCTTTTTTCGGTCCTATGAAGAATATTATGAAGAGGATGAGAACCAGAGCTAAGTTGAACACTACGGACTTCAATATGACACAGAGGGATAATATACTTAAGTGTGTGTATACACAAGTGTTAGGTTTAGTGGAATGTTTTGATCGGTTTTTCATCTTCATTTCGAAAACCCTTTTTTTCATTGAAAGAGGATCTCGGTGAGTAATATAGTCTCTATCGTTGTCCCCTTTATACGTCCAACCATCCGGCAGTTTTTTGATTCCTGGAGCTCAGAACGGCGGCGGCCGCGATTCGAAAAAGCTGGGAATATCAGTTTTGAGTTGCGAGCAATCATCGAAATTTCTTTCACGAAGGTGATGTTCCCGAGCAAGAAACAAATGGTGCCCAGACGGAGCAAGTCCCGGCGATCAAGGAGAAAGAAGCAGCCCTTCCTACCAAAGTTTTGCGAGTTTATGAGGAGGCAATTTCGCAACACGAGGTCGAAAGCTATCGTGAAGAAGGCAAACAATTCCCCGCTGCGGGCGCTTTTTTCGAATAACGTCGTCCAGTAAATGTAACTCAGAACAACCTTCCTCGGACGTAGTCCACTTCTCTGCTTGTCTCGAATGTGTTTCGTCACCAGTCACCCATGGGTTGAGTTACGATAACTCTTCCGGATACACTACAGACATTTGCGATAGCCGTCAATGGATTATGCCCTTACAGCAATTGGTGATAGACGATAGCTTTCACACAGCTTCAGACGACAGTTGAAGGTTGCAGTCATATTTGCGAAGCACTTACAAGGGAATGTTCGCAAATCCCTCTATAAGTACAGGTTCCCCTTCAAGAGTACAGGTTAGACATTGGTCTACCATAACCCATTACGAGATCCTTCCGAGCGGTCCTACGGAATCTTCAAAGAGGTGAAGAGCCGATCAAAACTTTTCCGCTCAACCTAATATATCGAATAATTTGTGCACCACTTTTTTCTAATATTTTAAATGCTCTTGGTACAAGGCTGGGTATGTTGATAAGTACTCAAGTTCCCGCGTAACACCGGCCGAGTAGTTGTTCAGTCTTGAGACGATTGACTGTTTTGTCACCGTATGTAGAGAATCAGCATGTATGAGGTGTGAAGTTTGTGAGCAACATGTGTGCTCCACGCATTTTTTAAAGTCTTCCCATCAATGTTGACTTCCTTGCAGGCATCTTACACATCTTTAGTATCTTTCTGTCGAATGTTCCTTGAAGTTTAAACTAAAACAGTCATCCAATTGACGTGCAGAGCCACTTTTCTTGGATAGGTACGGCGAGAGAATGTAAAAGCAGAAATAAAGTGTTCACTCAAATAAATGTTAGAAAAGGTTTAGAGAGCCTTTAATGGAATGAAAAAACACTTTGCAAAAGTGCGTACGATAGCGGGGAGCAAACCCGTATTCTACGCCTATGAAGCGGAACCACTACCACTAGGCCACGTTGGCGCTTGATATGGACGCGACGACATCGCATACCGCATTGACACACATGTCAAGCAAATTTTAAGCCCTCATACCTTTTTAATGAAAACCATTTTACAGTTTTAATTTCCATTTCATAAACAGCATAAAAATCCCTATCGATTCATCTGGGTCTTCATTTAAAGTCCCACCGTAAGTAGACTGCCCCTCCCGGTAAGGCGGAACTGACCTGTTTAGTGAACGTTCCTCGTTCAAGTTACAGTTCCTTTCCTTTTTTCCTTGAACTCGTTCGAAAACGACGATAAAACAAACTGAAAAAACATCTGTTAATCATTGACAGGTGATCAGGTATTCCTGAGAAAGGGATTCGTTGAGTGATCTGACTCAAGAAGTGATTCACACCCAATAATCTCGCTCGTAACAGAATGCTGTAAAAGTAAAACGGTAACAGAAATCAGGGGCACTGATGAAAAACGAGCCATTGTTGAACATTGAATTTTCTCCAATGGTCTACTATACCATTGGAACATTTCACGCAGGAAAACCATAAGATATGTGCAGAGATTAAGATGAAGAAATTACAGAACGAAAAAGAGGAGCAGTTGGAAGTGAGTGCATGGCTCAGATTCATGTGGAGGGATGAGAATTTACGATGGCAGCCTAGTGTCTACGACAACGTAACTGACCTTCGGCATCCAGCTGGAACGCTTTGGCAACCGGACATTCTTCTGTACAACAGGTCCATTCCGTCCCTTCATTTCATTGGTGGACATTGCCTTACCCTTATTTTTACAGTGTTGATCCAGCTTTCGACTCCACATACAAAGTGAATTTGCTGAATTACCACGACGGCTCGGTAAATTGGGTCCCACCGGGGATATTTAAAGTGTCCTGCAAGCTCGACATTTACTGGTTCCCGTTTGACGAGCAGATTTGCTTTTTTAAGGCACTGACTAACTGCTAATTCTCTTCTTTGAATTTACGCGTAATCGGAGACGTTGCAGTTCGGCTCATGGTCTTTCAGTAGAGACAAAATCGAGTTGGCCGTTGGTGACTTTGATTTCTCCGAATACATTCCCAATGGAGAATGGATTATTCTCAGTAAGTTTTGAATCCCATCGAAGTTACATTGTGTACATCATAAAAAAGAAAAACAGATTCTACGGCGAATGTTTCCGTGAAGTACTACGAATGTTGTCCAGAGGCTTATGAAGACATCAAATTCACGTTGCACCTCCGACGGCGAACTTTGTAGGTTTTTCAAGACTATGTGATGAAAGTTCATTAGAATGGTAGTTGTCTGCTGTAACATATCTCGCCTAAAAAATTTCCTCCCCCAACAGGTCCCCTTCAAGGAAAGCTCGAAAAGGGAATGATTTCACTTCATCACTCGCTAGTTATGAGTGTTTCGAACGGCATATTGTTTTCCTAAATCCCTAGCTTCTCTCCTCCTTCTGGACCCATCTGTCAATCAGAGTGTGGGTATTTCTCCCCGAACGCCCAAGCGACAGCGGCTACGCGGTGATTACCGTACCCTTTCAATGGGAATTTGAACCTTTCCTTTCACAACGCCCGATCGGGTGCGGCGAGCTCGACGCCATTTTCGGTGAGAGGATACCGCACCAGGAAGGCGGTATTGTTACACGAATTCCCACGGCGAGCGCCAGCGGATCCGCGGCGATTACCGTATCCTTTCACAGGAGGTTCGAACTTTCCCATCATAGCGAGCAGCGCGTTTAGGCGCGGCGAGAGCGATTTCCGGGAGAAGTGTGCACACTCGTGTACACCATACATTCGTCTCTGCTCTGCAGCATCAACCAAGACAATGCTATCATAAAATTGTTGCAATAAATTTGATATGCCATAATATGCTGTGTTGTATTGATTTGTTGTGATTTACAAAAGCTAAACCGATTGGATCACCTCAAAAGGGACACTGTATGTGATATAGCGGTAGAGTGCAGAAAAGGTATTACGTATAGGTATTACGCGTTCAACTTGATCATGCCGTGCATGCTGACCATGGTGCTGGTGGTGCTCGGATTCACTCTCAGTCCGGAGACTTGTGAAAAAGTCGGCTTGCAAATCTCCGTCTCTCTGGCCATTTGCATTTTTCTAACCATAATGAACGAGATGACTCCGCACACTTCCGAAGCTGTCCCCCTTCTTGGTGAGTGCTTTATGTCCTGACTAAGATTTGAAAACTACGAACTTTCTTGTGTTGATGGTCTTTGATAAAAGTTATGCGATCTCTCTTTCCAACAGAACTATGCTTCATTGCAGGAGTGTTTTTCCAAAGCTGCATGGTGATTTCGGTGCTCGCTACGTCATTTACTGTATTCGTACAGAGCTACCATTTTCGTAGTCATCACAACACACTTCGAATGACATTTTGGGTCAGTGGAACTTATGATAGCATTTAATGAATCCCGCCTAGAATAAAAAGATGATTCGAGTGGGGAAGTGGATTGCTTGAAATGCACGCAGCTGTATGTTTTGTGATGCTACCACTCGTAAATTCACTCGTTACGCCACTACGATTTTGAGTGGAAGTCCAGTGCTGGGGCGCATCCCTCATACGGGATTGATTAATGCCAAAGCATGTATCCTTTATCCTTTGCCACTCGTGAATATTATGCACCGATAAGAAGCTAAAAGGAAGTGCTTGAGTTCTTAATTCTGTAGTTAACGGTCGTTCGAGGACAGACGTATGCCCATAAATTGGCATCCGAGTGATGATCTTTGAATGCTGAATTACAGATAAAGTGGTCATCACTAATTAAACGAAAAACACATTTCTGTCCGCTTGACAACTGTTGCTATAATTCCGAGGTGACCGAAGTAATCCTTTGTTATAGTCAAAAATATATTAACTACTTTTGTGCGGGACCCTTTTACACAATGATAGAGTACCATGCGGGACGGTACATTCGTGCGATTCGAGCTGCGCGCGGCAAATTGCGCGGCGAAATTCGTGCTGTTTTAAACGGCTCTGGCGATTATTATTCTGGCACAAACTTGAAGTAGAGTACTCTAGTAGAGTTGGACAATCCTACTAACCTACTTTGCTTCAAATTTGGGCTTCAATGATAGCCTTCAGAGTCGTTCAAACCACCGCGAATTTCGCCGCACAATTTGCCGCGCGCAGCCCGAATCGCACGAATGTACACACACCCGGGTACCATATTGAACAGTACTGTCATTCTTCAAAACACTGAACACGATAGTACTAATTATGGAGGAGAATGTGCTTTCGAACTTTGCCGAGAAAATTGATACAATCCGTTTGTTTAGCCGGGATCGGCTTTACCTCGACCTGGATCAAAAAAATGACTTCCACTTTCAGATGCGATTTGTGTTGCTCGAATGGGTCCCATGGATTTTGCGAATGGAGTTCCCTGAAAGAGAAAATACTATGAAAACGATAAAAGACAGCTGGTCTAACCGAAATCGAAGACGAAAAGGCACTATAACTGCTTTTGACTATGTTCAGGTTGCAAACAGTCTCGATAGCATTTACCAGATAAGGAGAAAAGTCGTAGTATCTTTTAGGCTAGTGATGGCAACCCCAATATTGCTGGATTAGCCGTAAAAGAAAATCTGGACAACTTTATTTCTCAGGTAAGAATCTTCTCACTTAACAATCTACTGGTATGCAATATGGTTATTTTCAGGTGAGTGTGAAATGCAAGGACGATACCAAGCTTTTAGAGCGTCTTCGAGTTCTTCAGAAAATACACGATCACGTCAAGGTAAGTGTTGTATTGATCACTCCTTCGGCCCAATATAGGGCAATTTGGATTTGCGTCATAGTAACAAAAAGAAACAGCTTAGCGGGGTAAGGTGTTTGGTTCCGATTGAATCGAAGTGATGAGGAAATGGATTACTTGAGGCTCCATATACTCTAACAGAAAGATGGAAACCCGAGTTCCTCTAGGGGTCTCTGATTCCAGGGGATATATGTACGCTGATTGAAGATCACTGCCCCTTGATCAGTGGGATCGTCCAGCTTAAGTTAAGGTTCTCCGCAAAAATTGCTGGAAACAAGGCCGTTTTTCAGAATGGTAAAAACGAATGAAACGGTTTCGTCACAGCTTGTTTTTTCACAGTCACATTACGAGATCGGTGGGGAAACAGAAGTGGGTGGACCTCCCAAGTCACGGGATGAGTGCCTGAAACAGCTTACCATGAGTAAGGGAGAAATCTACTGAACCTAGCAGCACAGATTTGAAAGTAGACAAGTGTTGGTAAGCGAGCAATCGTATCGCGAGTATATGTACATGCAAAAGCTGAGGTCAAGAGCCTTTACAAAATGCTAAATGAATCAGATATCCAGTAACTGTATTAGCCTCGTGGTGTCACGCGGATGAGTGGTACCATCGGTTGTTCTTGTGAAAGCAGTGCGGACTAAAGAGCTTCATGATCTTTGAAAGATGTCAAAAGTGCACCACCCGCAACATTCGTGTTGCTGAGTCCGGAGCACCCACACACGATCGCGTTCGCTTTGTTGTAAACTGCTTGCTACGCCAGTGGCCACCTCGGGCAGAAGGTGTCATCAACCACGTTATACTCGCTCAGACCTCTGAAATTCTGAAACCGAAGAATTCCCTTTTCATGAACTCGCCAATAGTTTGTTATCCAAGCTAGGCTAAGAAAGTGTCATGCAGAATATTTCCACAAATAGCTTCTGTCCAATGTGGCCATTGGCCGAAAGGCAAAGTATAACATTGAAAGAACGGGTGGTAGCAAAAGCTGTTTGCATGACTTTCTTCTCGCTTTGAGCCCTCTTGCGCAGCGTGAGCGCTGCCTTCGAGGATTCCGCACAAGAAGGGCGTGGGTGGACAACCAGAGAGATGGAGAACGTCCGTTGCGCGTGTCCGTCAAAAGTAGGTCACCCCGCCCACTTCGCGCGCGGCGCATCACACTGAGGTCTCGATATGACATTAAAGTACCACCAAGTGTCACTGGAGCAAATGATTTGCATTTGTCTGTGTTATCTTCTTCTTGAACTGACTGCCCCAAACGCAAAGCGTATGCCCCAGTGACAATTGCGACGTCTGTCAAATACCGCGGGCCGACTCGCCGCGTGCGACGGCTGCGGCGTGACCTAATTCTGACGGACACGCGCAACGAAGCGCACCCTTCTCTTCAAGAGAGCGTTCGGTGGTGGCGTTTTCTGCTGTCGAAGATGAGGACTATTTCACTGCAACTGGGAATTGGGTAACGGAAATATGTATTGGGTTGGAAGGAAAGTTCTGCGACAAAAAATTTGAAGTGTCAGCAATTTGTATCAACAGTGTGAGCACGGTAGCAAGAGTGATAAACTTGTAGGACATTCCTCAGGTAATCAACACATGAGTAAATAAGGGCACGCGTATGGGCTTTAGCAGCATTACGGTCAATGAATGGACAACACCCGATTCGTACCATCACCTTCTACTGAGCACGCCAAGGGAAAAACGCATGTGTAGCAGCTAAAATTATCAGCAACTTATTCAATGCTGGCACTGCTCACCGATCATCGGTCAACAATCGGTTCGATCGCTTCTCTGGAGGAGATACTAGCCTTCGAAGTAACGCAAGCGTCGTCCCTTGATTTAATGGAGGTTGAAGGGATCCATAAGTTGCTAAACGCAGACTAGATGGGCATAGCTATCGGTTACTCCTGTGATCCCCTCTAACTGGCTAACAGGCTTAGAGAAGAACGATCCAAGCCGTAGATCAGGTCCCCACAGAGGGTCAACTCACGTCGGAATTTCGCTTTAAACACGCGTCAAAAGTTCTACGATTTCATTTAGTTCCAGATTGATCATCAGTCGTACTCCCGAAGTGATGCCCCTTTTACCTACAATGCGCTCCGCCTTCTTGAGCATCCCGTTGTGGAAAAGAAAATTCGTAACTTAATGTGAACTGAAAACGGCAGTCAATCACTTCTTTGATTCACAGCTTCCTCACTCCTGGATAAAAGGCATCAGTGATTTACTCAAAGGATAATAGAAGGTTGTTGACCTCTTTGGTAAATATATTTCTGAAAATTGATTGGTCTGGAAAGTTTCAGAAATGACTTGAAGAAGACCTTCATTGTGTCGCAGGACTTTACTTCCAACCTAATAGAATCCAGGGTGCAGCACGCGTGCACATGACGAATAATTGATAGTTGTCCAGCTGTCCAATCCTTCAAGCTGCAATAACTATCAAGGATTCGTGTCACCCTTCGAAACTGTGCCTTAGATATTCTAGCCCGGAGCAGGCACTGCTTTCCTGCTTGCTCCGAATTTTATTGCTTTTCTGCGACCTACCACTAACGCGGGAAGCGGGGCAAGTCGTTACGGCCTAAGTTTATGAGTCAGGACTATTTAATGCACAATTAATGAAAGATTTAGCTAAACACACCTGCACATCCAAAGAAAGCTTCTAAGATTATCAGATTGAACATCACCGAACAATTGTGAGCCTTTCGTTTTTTCCACCAAGAGGGAATTTTCGAAAATGTATTGCAGTGAGGGCTTTTTAAAACTGAGTTCTTATTGCATCGTATTCTTGAAGGTGCCTCTCACTAAGTCTTCCATGTTAAAGTTCATCCTGCAGACACAGAACAAAACCTGCAGAAGCACCCCCATCGTGTCCTGGGTGTTGAGCCATATACCTCCTTCGTATATGAAATTGATATCCTGAAATCAATGTTTTTAATTATTCATTATGCTTCACTAATACTGCAGAACCAAAGCGCAGCTTGGACGGCAAGTATTTAGACAATCCGAGAGCGATCAGATGACGGAGTCGAGGAGAGTCAAGCCGCATTGGAGTGGCGATTCGCTGCAATCGTGGTCGACCGTCTTGGCCTTCTTTCCTTCACCATTCTGATCTGCGGCACTACGCTTATCATCTGTTTACGAGCACCCTTTTTGGTCGCTTGAGCCCTTCTCAAGCCAGAATTGAATCTCAGATTTTTGCTGAATACAACTGTCAACAATTTATTATTATTAACATTCCAATGAGTAAGTATATGTTTATGACTCACATTTAGTTCACGTGTACTTTACTGGTTGTGTTCTTCCATGTGCTTTTACTTTCATATTTTGCCAAGGTCTGCATTTTTTTTGGAGGAGGCTGAGATCCACTGGCTAAGTCATTAGTTATTACTGGTTTCAAACTACGTGACTACGTGACTGTACTTGCACAATTACGTACCCGTTAGTGTCCAGTACAAATGAAATGATTGTATGATCGCCATGCCTCCAAATGATAACGTTCAAAGGCTGTGTCGAAGCAGCCTTTGACAGCTCAGGTGAGTGTGAACATAAATCTTTGCTTGAAAATGGTTCCATCTGCACTCCCTTCGGATGGCTAGGTGGCTGAAGAGACAATGAGAGGCCTTTCGGCAGTAGAGGGTGATTCAGTAAAAAAAACGATTGGGTGTGCTCTTTCCTACGCCTTAGCTCTCCATCGTGTCCTTTGCTGCAATTATTCACAGTTAGACAGAACAATATGAACTTCCTGACAGCCCGAAATAGATGGTCTATTCCAGAAAAAAAGGTCAGGATGACAAAGGGTAAAGTTTTTGGCACTAGTCAATCCCGTTTCGGAACGCACTCGAGCATTTTGCTTCCATTCAGAATCGTTGTAGCCTCTCGATTGCGTGTGTGGTCTATACTCCATATGAACATAAAACTTGGTTGGCCTTGACGAACATTGGTGCTGGATTCGATCCCCGGACCATGCGTGAGTGATAGAGCGCAAAATGGCGATACACCGCTTCCTTCCTGAGGAAAGAGATGCTGATTCTTTTTGAAAGTGGTTAAGTGAGAAGTGAAAACCTTCGCCTACATCACCAACACACCATTACGTTCCGTTATTTCCACTATCTCCTTACGCGGGGCAGCTGAAATATGCTCACAAATCGCGTACGTTCGGTGGACTTGGTTCATTTTTCCCACGTTTGACGGCGGTCCACTTAGCACCCACACTTATGTTTACACCGAAAATATGTTATTCATCGCATTTAATAAGGCAAGCATTTCTACGATCATCAGCTGCTGTTGATTTTGTATAAATGCATCCTCGCTCATTGCTTATTGAAGCCATTTTTACCGAGTTGTCAGTGAGACTTTGTTGGTTGTAGGCGACTAATGTAAGGCAAAAGGGAATTCTGTGACTTTGTTCTAGATAATCCTTCTTAATAGATTAACCGACTTTCATATCAACTGTGCCTTCAGAGGGCAGTCAGAAGCTGACGAAATCAATGATGGGATCCATTCATGGCAGGTAGTTTTGATTGCGAGGTAATCAGGTTTTACGTTTGGCCTCGAATGAAAGCAGGCCTGTCAAGATGAAGCGATATCTTCTGAACGTTCGATTCTACGCTTACCTTTGAGACATTCAGCCAGAAGACATATTTCACGATGATTCTATATTATTATCGTAGTGAACAGGAGCTCACATCTAGTGAATAATGGTTCGGCAAAGTTCTATCTATTCATCCGTAGGAGGAGACTCCTTCCGGAGTCAAATATGTATCGACATCCCCCTGCGGTCTGCCATTCTATTCAGTTGGTAATCCTGATGCCACGACTCCGAATGTATGCTTATATTTCCTGATGGCAAATTGTAGAACAACTCCGAAGTCATGGCATGCTCCCAACAAAATAGGTGCACGCCCTCCGTGAAGTTGCTCACAACGGACCGTATCGCATTAATGAATCCGATGGTGACATTTTCTTCTGCACCCCACGCCCTCCCTCCATCCTCTTTTTGCTTATATAGTGCATGACAAAAGTATATGGACACCTCACTATTCTGGTCTACCTACCTTGCTAGTGAAAATTGAACTATATCACTTCCACTATACAAATATTCGGGTGCGAAAACTAAGGAATACTTCTTTTCTTCTGAGAACTTTAAGAAGCTTCCACTTTTTTCCGATTGAGGAAAAGACTGCTCTGTAACAAAATTATGTGAACACTATACAAAACAAAGCCAAAAAAACAAAACAAACAAAGACAAAAACATGAATGAGCCAATAATCGATGGACCCTCCAGAGTTTTTATCGATTAAAAGATTCAGTTCGGCATGCTCTGAACCAAGTTTGCGTAGTTGTCTCGTCGAATGATTCCCAAACAACCAAAATCACCCTTTCGGTTCCTTCAAGCTGTTGTAGAGCCAGTTGTTCAGGTAAACCTGCCAAACCACGATCCCCCAAAGATTTTCAGTGGAGATGCATTCAGGAGAACAGGTCTATACGTTACGTTACATCGTGCCGTTAGATTCATTCCTTTGTGGGCCTGGGACGTAAACAGCTACCTGCATTACCTTGATGGAAAACATATGTCTTGCGTCGCGCACTTCTTAGAAATGGGAGAAGGTGGAATTGAGAGATTCTTGGTACTCCTTCCTATCCATTCGTCATGAAGAGAAGGCCAGCTTTGGTTTGCCGCTGCTTCTGAAGACGTCCCAAACCAGTGTTGTGGCTCATATAAAGTTTCGTCTTGAATAAGTCGTGACGATGATCTCATTAGTAAAAATGATGTCTATCTGGACAGTCAATATTGTACTTATTATTCATCAATAATGACCTGAACGGAAAATTTGCGGAAACTGAAGTTTGTACTATACTTACAACTCTTTCCAGAAGTTCTACATACCTTGGCCGTCCCATAGTTGAAGCTGAGCGGTACCCACCGGTATTTTGAACGTACATACTTCCCAGTGCTTGAAGGAGAGCGTGCGATTTGACGATTCGAGTGTTCGGCTTCATGGAGAACCCTGATCTCAATTGTTATTCTTCATAGAGAAGCCTATCACGAAAACGCATGAAAACAGAACAGTCGAGTTTTTCAAAGGAAACGAAAAATGTGACCAGATTTTAACGCTAAAATCGGATTTCACTTGGCTGTGCACATACTTTCGTTCCGAAAAGATGCTTTCCTTGAGGGAAAATGAAAAAAGAGTTTCTTATAGCTTTTGGGGTACAGATCTACCTAGGTTTCAACATTAGAGGATTTTGAGGGTACAGGGCTTATAGCTCAAAATTCACTGGCAAGCCTAATAACCCAGTCAATGAGGTCTTCTGTTACAAAGTGTTCAAGTGTTTTCACATAGCAAGATAGAATGTAACTGATGATTTTTCATTGTTGATCATAGTTCAGCAATTCTCGACAGTTCCAGTGAGGGCACAGACATTTGTCAGCATTTGGCACATTTTTGTTGCGGCATTGGTATTTTTACGTCTCTATTCCAAGCAACTGTTCGTCAAACTAGAGGCTTACATTCCAAAACGGCTCAAGCGACGGAAATCAAAGGAGCACTTCTAAAGCGCTCAAGCGACTGGGTATTGCGCAGAAGTTTCTCCAACAAGAAAATGTCTGGACTTATAAACTTCCCAACTATTTGGCAGTTACTCTACGTATAATGAGCTTGTGTTTATTTTTGGACTATTAGGTGAGAAGAAAAGAAACGTTCCTGTGGTAGGTGATCAATCAAAAACGGATCGGGATCGTAGAGAGCCCGTCAACTCAGCCGTTCTTTGAACCGCTCATTCATCTCGCCAAGTGTTCCCCGTTGTCGCCGTTTTTCTATGCTGCCAAAGATTGAACACTCGCGTATTTATTGGCTTTCTTTATCAGTAAACAAATCAATCCGAGCAAGTTGCCGAACCGATGATTGCTGAGGGGCTGACTTTTCTGGTTCCAAAAAATGAATGGCCATGTTAACGAGGACTTTGTGAAGGCTCTTTCAGCATGTTGATGTAGTTAGTGTTTCATACTTTGCTCCACCATTTCGAACTTGATCAGCTCCTGCATATTAGCATTATCGAATCGGGCCTCCCTTTTGGAAGCTAGAACTTGGGCACATTCTTTGGAAAAGGCAATTATCAAATTGTTGTGACAAGAAATAGAATAATCTTATAGAGTTTGAACTTTGCCTTTAAGCTGTCTTAATCATGGTCAGGGGACCAGGAAGGTTCCTTGAGCGACTTGCCACTAGAAGCTTGTTCATGCACTGGTTCCCATGCTGAAGCACCTTGCTTCGTGAGGTTGAACAAATACTTGATGTGTTTTGTTTATAGTCGACTTGAGTTTCTTTGAAAGTGTTTATTTGCCATTTTGTACCTTTTGAAAAGCTTGAATTGAACATCACTACTTCTTACCATTTTATATCGATACAACGGAGCACCTTAACCAATGGGCTTGCAAGGCTACAGAGAGCTTGGGGAAACTAAAATCTGCGCTGAAGAAAAAAAGTACTGAAATATCGAGAAAGACGTAGACGTTTAATTTCCAATGAGCTTTTTGTCAGAAATAGCAATCAACCCTTCTTTGCATTTCGGGGTATCTATGGCAAGAGAACAGTGAGTTTTTCTTCTCTTATGCTCCAAACACACTCTGTACTTCCCTTTGAAGAGTGAGCTGCGGCATCTCGTTGCTTTTCTTACCAATTAAATCTGATTTTATTCATGCAGAGAGCGCTGTGGTCAAAGCTGTGGTGGAATGAGATCTGCAGAGGAACCGACTTCAGAACGAGGCTCAGAAGTGAAAAAAAACCAGCTGATCAAGCTCGTTTTCACTTCTAAGCCTCGTTCTGAAGCCGGATTCTGATTTGCGGACGATCGCATTTCTCTACTTGTAGGGTGATGATTCCCATATAGGCGATTCCAAAATTGAAAATTGGAAGCGCTTGAAAAATCACCCCCTTAGAATCGTTGCTGTTGACTATTTAAAAACTGTTAGGCTAAGTGGGTGAGAGCAGATTGCTCATAACAGTAAAGTAGCAGATTGGAGTCACGAAAAACTGACAATTATCGAGCACTTCCGTTGCGTTCTGTCCATGTGCTTCTCTTCTTACACTACCTGACTGGGCTGTCTCTTTGCTGAGGACAGTTGTGAATGATTCGGCGATGCTGTAATTTTCGTTGCTTCA